ATTTAATTTGAGTTATATTTTTTTCTTTGTAGTAGGTCAAATTGGTAAAATTAAAGAAAACTTAGATTCACCCCGACGAACATATGTCGACAGCCAGAATCTCGATAATAGATCATCAAAATCTGAATTGAAAATGATGTCTAATGAATGAATCGGTTATGAGTTATGATCAAGTTGATTAAAAAATCAAGGTCTATAACATGATCTCTAACGACCCCTAACTGTGATATTGATTGTCGTTGGGTGAACATGCAATGTGCTAATGAAAATAACGATACATATCAAATTGAATAAATTATTTGTTACCGTATGCATTATATAGTTCCGTAAAACGAGCATTTAAGAAGCGTTTTCGTAAGATGTACATACAAACCGAGATATCGTGTTTGTTTGAAGACGAAACAGAAACATAGAAAGGAAAATACGCGTATTTTGTAAATAACAATCTCGAGTCTAGAACTAATATATTTAAAAAAAATAAAAGCATGGTTAAAAGCAGAAGCAAAGTATATGAAATGAATATATTTTGAATGGAGATTATCAATCTAAAAATAAAAAGGGGTGGATGGAGCATTATTGGTGATGGAAGGCATTACTTAAAGTCATATAGGGATTAGCATATATATATATATATATATATATATATATATAGGGTTGGGTTCACGTGAGACCGATGGTTTTTTGTGAGACCCGTAAGACGAATTTATGTTCATTGATCAACTTTATAAGCTAATGATCTAATGGTCTAAAGTTGTACGGTGGCAATTTTGTGATTATTGAGAAGTCTCATCACAATTTTGTGATTATGAATGTTTATATTGTAGATCTAATCCAAGGGTTGATAATTTGTCTTACAGGTCTCACGAATGGTTGGATTTTGGTAAGAATGAGAGTTAAAGTGAGAAGTGTAAGAAATAATTTTTACCCTTAGATGTATATTAGGATGAGATGCCTCAAGATGCACTCGATAATCGTTGTATTATGTGCGATTCATGAGTGAGTTTGAAATTAAAAGGGATCAAGAGTCTAGATCTCTTCTTACGCTTCTTATCTTAACTCTTTTTCTCACACGATCCTTCGTGCATATATATATATATATATATATATATATATAAAGAGAGAGAGAGAGAGAGAGGTTGGTTATTATACAACCCTTGACATTTGTGCAACCAATACAACTCAATCTCAACCGTCCATTTCATTTGATTAATATGTGATTTCATAGAAGTTTTGATTGTTTCCTAATATAAAGTATTAATCATAATTAATGAACTCTATTCATATTCCATAAATATTCAAATCATAATAAATGAACTCTCATCATTTCTATAAATATCTCAATTAATTGGGTTGCAAAGGTTGTACAAATACACAAGGTTGTAAAAGAAATATACCCTATATATATATATATATATAGACTTGGGATCATGTGAGACCCGTGAGACCACATTTTTACATGTAACCTTCACAGCAAAAACACTGTGAAGGTTTTAAAAAGTCACCTTCACAGCATTTTGCTGTGAAATTTCAAGTGTAAAATGTTGGTCTCACGGGTCTCACGAAAACAGGCTGGTCTCACATGATCCCAAGTCTATATATATATATACTATATTATAAAGCATTTGACCAAAAACGCTTAAAAACCATTTTTTATGCATAAAGTACTGTGTATTAATGCATATTACTTAAAATTTAAAATTACAAGTAAATTGTGCCTAAGTACAACTTATCAAAGCTTCATTTTTGAATTCGTATAACTAACTGCAGATAAACATAATCAAATACAGGATAAACATCTCATTTTAAATATCAAAAATCTAAAATATAATTAGGATAATCATTGAGTTCTAACAGAATCATTATCTTTATAAAAAATATATTGTTAAGCCAAAAATAAATTACTTTGCTATTAGACCCTAAATTAAATTATAATAAATAATTGAATTAAGAAAATTGTACAAATAAATGAGAACTTTTAAGTTGTTAATTTGATATTAATATCGATATACTTTTTCAAATTTATTTTTATTCAAAAGTAAAAATATTATCTTTATCGAAATCACATAAACCATATTATATCAATAGAGATAAAAAAATAAAACGGAACATTAAAATGAAGTTGTCTCTCGCTACATTGTGTGGGTACTCTTCTAATATATATATATATATATATATATATACACACACACACACACACACACAAACTCAACTACTACTACAAACCATACGAACCAACTAATTGAAATATTTATAGAAATGATGAGAGTTTATCTATTTTGATTTCAATATTTATAGAAGATTATCGAAGTTCATTTATTATGATCAATATTTTATATTAGCAAACAATCGAGATATTTATTGAATCAGATACTCATTATACTAAATGAACAGTTGAGATTTGGTTTTATGGTTCCTACTAGTAGTTGCGTTTGTAAATGAAACCGCTATGTGTGTGTGTATGTGTATGTAGGCTTAATCATTTGAAAACTTCAAAATCTATAAGATCCATGAGAACTTGTATATCAAGGTTTTGTTTTATATGTTTCTTATTCCACCTAACCCTATTTTGTTGGATTCAAATAATAACCTCAAACTCATTATGAATCCCTAATATTTTATGAATATCACGCATTTTTATTATCTATTACTTATAATTTAACTACAAGGGTGGTGTTCGGTTGGTTTCAGTTTGGGCTACAAATGTCAAAAGTGTCTGGAGATCACAGGTTCTAATCCAAGGAGAAATAAATCCCCTTGTGGTCACGAAGATTCATATGCAGTGACTACAGGTTCCCTGCGAAGCGGATGGTCGTCCCAGAATTAGTTGGCTCACATAGTTGGTTGGATATTTAGGTTAATAAAAAAAAAGATTATCATTTTTGCCATATGATATTATACATTTTCATTTTTATTATGTATGATATTAAATTATTTTCAACATGAATATTAATCACAACATTCATCATAAATGATTTTTATTATTCGATGTTATTCGTCATAAGTATTTAGTTCCCCAAGTTCTCAATGAATCTGAGGTTCTCATTTGAACCTACATGCATATAGTAGGATGTTGAGATAAGAAGATTAAATATGGTGGAAGGTAAAATGAAAAGCTAATACATATTCATATGTGAATGGTTAAAAACATTCATTTCAAGACACACACACACACACATATATATATATATATATATATAGAGAGAGAGAGAGAGAGAGAGAGAGAGAGAGATGAGCGTTCAAATAAAAACCGGCTTCATTTGTGTAAATCGTGTAAACTAATCTCATCCATCCATTTTCTTGATCAATGGCCAAAATTAGTTTACTTTATTTTAGGAAATTAAAAAAATATATATATTAAAGATTTATTTTATTTCAACAGTAAGGGCATAAATGATAAACAAAATTTAATATTTAGTAACATCCTACTCGATCTTTCATGAATCTTTTTTCATGCAAAATTATTTTCTTCCAAGATTAGTTTACTTCCATGAATCTTTTTTTCATGCAAAATTATTTTTTTCCTTTCGTTCCTGGTTTGATGCATTAATTCATTTAAGTCTTGCAATTATTTCATGACGAACCAAATACATTATGCAACTGTTTCACTAGTCATGCTCAATAACGCCATGAACCAGTTTCACTTTCATGAAACCTATTTCATATATAGTAATTTTCTTATTTCACAATGATTTGATGGATTCATTTCTTTAAGTCTTACAATCTTCAAGATTCTGGAGCAAGTTACAATCTTCAAGATTTTGTAGCAGATTAAAATCATTTCTTCGTTTCATCATGTACTTAGTTCATGACGCACCAAATACAAAATGCACCGGTTTCATTTTCCTATTCACCAACTAAATAGATCAACTACACAATCAATGCAAATGATTCACCATGAAAATGTTTTGGTTCACATAATTTATTTGCAACAAAAACCAGTTTCACGTTCATGAAATCTGTTTCATTTCTGGATTTTTTTTTTGTCCATCTACAATTTGATGATTTCATTATACACTTCAATTGTTTCATCAAGACTCGTTTGCTGATTCTTACAGATTACAATATATGAAATTCCAATTTTTAATATTATAATATAATTAAATATTTAAATGTTACCATTTATACAATTTCCTTTATTACGTTTCCTTAATTAAGATTTATTAATAACTTTCATATTTAATAGAAAATATTATAAATGACTGAAATACCCTTATTCATTAATTTTATTTTAAAAAAAATGAAATTTTCCTATTGGTCGAAATTGGTTTACACGGTTTCTTAGAAATGCACGGTTTTCATTTGAACGTGCCCATATATATATATATATATATACTTAAGATCATGTGAGACCAAAGGTTTTTCATGAGACCCGTAAGACCAATTCTCAACCCTTGGATTAGACCTACAATCTGAACATTCGTAATCACAAAATTGCCACGAGACTTCTCAATAATCACAAAATTGTCACCGTGCAACTTTATATAATTAAATCATTAGCTTATAAAGTTAATCAATGAACATAAATTTGTCTGACGGGTCTCACGAAAAACCATTGGTCTCACGTGAACCCAACCCTATATATATATATATATATATATATATATATATATATATATAAGTGTAATGTGAGATGTCCTTGAAGGAGGTGGCATATAATAATGGTGGTCACAGGGCTGCTTGGGAGGAAGGAGGAGCCCATCTCAAAGGTGTTTGGTTGATTGGTGATGTGGTGGTGGCTTTTTTGGCAATTCTCCAAATCCCTACACACCCTTCCTTCTATTCAATGTGCTCACATGTCTCATGCACCTTTGGATTCTCCTCCTAAATCTCTTCAATTATAATGGTCCCACTCATCATAAATTTTTCATTACCCATCACTAACACATACCACCACCACCATCATCATCATCACATACAATCAAAGTATCTGCATTTGCCAGAAAGACAAACCTACTCTCCAAACACCAGATCAAATATCACAAAACCTAACAAAATTCACATCACTTAAAAATGTCAAAATATATTTAATAACCAAAGGTTGGCTTCAAACTTCCAAACAATGGTATAACTAAGCGCAACCAAATCAAACGAAACAAACCCAGTTTATCTCACCCAGAGGTGAGGTATACAGATTGTAAGTTGTATGCAAACCTGACCTCGACCCCAAAGACAAATACGATTAAGTTTGAAAAGTTGGTTAAGATCAAACAATAACATACAAACAGAAACAAACTAGGCTATTCCGTCGACTAAAAGTTATTACCTACAAAACAATAAAAGCTGAATATTGTTACCTGCTATAATCCAGTACAAACCAAGTGTGGCACCTTCAAAGCAACAAATGGGCTATTTTGGACAGTCCGTACTCCGAAACCTGCATCGGTAAACTGAGATACGGCAGTGTTAATGATTAGCTGAAACTAGAGATGTTCAATCTCCTCAAGAGAAGTAAACTGTGCATCAATGTGACTAAGAGCTTCTTGATTGATTGTAACTGTCCTAAACCATTTTGATGGGGAACTTTCAGATTTGGCATCCAGTTGATCAGGAGTCTCCATGTTTTCAGATTGTTGCCGATTGAAGAGCTGAGATTTCAGTAGCTGGCAAGATTTCAGATCTTCAACTGTTCGAGCATTGCTCAATTTTTTGTTCAGTTCGACTAAATTTGAATACCTTGCCTTTTTAGGCCTATTAACAAGTTCAGTTTCTTCGTTGCCAGTAGGTGTCTCACTCTTGAGCTTTCTTAAACCATTATTTACGATGAACCTCATTCTATCTCGGAAATTTTCAGTTCTAATTTGGTCTGCTCTCAGCTTCATTTTCAATTTCGATACCATCATTTCGCTCTTTCCATCTATCTCATCATCGATTGGCATAGAGGATTCATGCTTTATAGGCTCTTCTAATTTGGAATTTACAGCAAAAACCTCCTCCAATAGAGTAATGTTTTGCAAATATCTATCAAAAGCTTCATTTTCTATTTCTATGTTCCTGTCCTTGTATTCCTTTAACTTTGAAAACCTCCACTCGTTTATTTGAGAAGCCTCCTGTATATTTCAATTTTGTAACTTGAGTTTTTTTTTTTCAATAACATGCTGATAATCAAGAGGGAAATATCATAAAGTGAACTGAATTAAGGTAAAGCTTATGCACCTTTCTTGTCAGTGGCTTTCTAGCACGAGATGGAGTTTGCAAATTGTTGAATTGAGCAAAATTGTTGGACAGCTGCCGGAGTGAGGTGACTCTATGTGCATTCCTAGAAGAAATCTCAACAAACTCAGGGTTTTGAGGAAGTCACCAGTAAAATGGAAACGGATTAAAGAGGGGGAGAGTAAACAATTATAGTCATCCATAGCCATAAGTTCAATCACTGGCTACAAAAAGAACTATGCTTGATATGTTCTTAAAGGCAAACCCGTGCTTACAATATCAAAACAAAGCAAGTTCGTTTGTAAATGACGGATTTTTTCAACAAATGCTACTTTCAAAATAGCACAACACATCAACAGCACGAGGAAGGCTACTAGAAATACTAGATAACTGAGGCATGCAACTTACCCGGACGATGATGTCTCATTTGCATGCTGATCAACCAAAGATGAGCTTGAGGATGGTGTCTTATCCGGAAATGTTGAATTGCCCTTCAACACTGCAATCACTCATATAGAACTTGCAAGTTATATGTCTGTGCAGTTTATGGCTGGCATGAAAGAAATATCATATGTTGATATGTAACTATGACCTTCACAAATTATGCCATATGATCCAGTTGGTAAAAAGTGGTTCCAATGTCCATTCGGAAGCTTGTAACGAGTGGATATTGCAAGCCATCTTTATTAGACAAGTGTATTCTTGTTCGTTGTATTAAGAAAAGGTCTTGTTCGTTGTATTAAGAAAAGGTCATCCCCTTCATGTAAATTACATAAAAGAAAGTGAAAGTTCTTGAAATCTGCTGGATTCTTATTGGAAGAAAGGGAGGATGAGATGGGAGAGAGGGAGGGAGTTCAGGAAATTAAATAATGATCAACTCCATGCAGCTTGGGTTTATGCTTTTAAACCTAAAACTTGGTACGTCGTTTACAACTAGAACAATTACTAGCGACTGCAAAGCCTTCTCTGGTATTGATAAAACAAAGCTCTATAATTTTTCTTGTTACTGACGGCTTAAAAGTCCCTGAAAGTTTCTACCAACAGGACAAAATTTGAACTGGTAGCATGGGTCAGGAACAACAAACAACTAACACCTCATTACTCCTACCCATTCTCTAGATCAAGAATCCAATTTCATGCAAAAATTGAAACAAATAGTTTATATGTGCTCCAACTTTCAGGAGTTCCCATTCTACCCATGTTTGGAAAGAGCTGTCCTAGTCTCGATAATTAGCTCTCGGTCTTCCGGTCGCAAAACAACGTTGTTCATAAGTTTATCATTACCTAGTACCTACAGTCTTTTAAGTTCACAAACTATATTTACTGTGTAAGCAGCAAAACGAAATAAGTCTCACTACTGCCTTGTAAATCATAACCATATCAGATTATTATACCGTGTATATGGCATGGATTTTGAGCTTTTGCACAGCAACTTTTGCATGCCTGGTACGGACACCTACAAAGTCAATTCAGAACTAACCTTAAGATAGAAAGCACATTTGGAGAATACACAAAAAGAGCCCTTTGAATAATGCAGCTGCAATAAAAAAGATATGTAGTGTTGGATTTAACATCATCCAATGCAATGCATATTTGAGCATATTCTCTAGAAAGAAAGATGACAGCTGAATAGATATTCACAATCGAATGACTTGGATTCTATGAATGAGGAATTAGTTTATCATTATGATATTTTCTTCAGACCAGACCTATGGATCCATGATATCCAGACTTGCAGCCAGACATTTGATATGATACGATAAGTTACTTAATGACTGTTGTAGAGAATGTTTCTTTCTGCATATAGCACCAAATGCATGTCTTCACTTTGCGCATTAACATTGAGAATCACTTCATATCCAATATACTTGACCATAAGTAACGGAATCAATCATTTTGACATCTCCTTGTGTTAAAAAGTTCCATTAGATGTATACCTCAGTTGCTTTAAGTTATTCCTTACCAAAATCTTAACTTTTACACATCTCTATTAGCTTAATCTCCCTTTATTTTAAATGATATGGATTATATCACCGGCTTATAGCATTCACCATGGTATGTGTAACGCCCCAAATCCTACTTCAGGTGTCGTTACGTTTTTATTTACCACCAAGTCTTGAATATGAACTTGAATTTCAACTTTATTTATTACTTAGCTTATAATTGCATCAGAGTTCAAATATTAGCGGAAACGTAACAAAATAGCTTATAATACAACAAAATTTGGCTATTGATAAGAACAATATTACTTCATGCAAATCCTCATTACTCTTTCCCTGAGACACATACATGAGATACATAAGCTAAAAGCTTAGTGAGTAGTTACGGTTTCATGAATAAACAGTTTTCATGATACTTAAAGAGACTCTTTTTATCATGCTAAATTATCTTTTTGAGATCTCACTTGCGACATGTAAGTATGGCATACTTGCCTTGAGGTTTGCTAACCCTGGGGTTCATAAAGGCGACCCATAAGGTCCATTTGCAAGATGTCCCTCCTTGTAATAGCCCATATGTTGGATATTCATGGTCATACATAACATGTAGAAACTTTCATGCCTTACGTGTAAAACATATCATAACATGCCATCATACATATATCTTGGCTATATAACGTATCATCATTTCATGTAAAGCAAACATGCTAAAAAAATTATCAAATTCTTCATAATGCATAAAATACATTTATATAGCATATATGCATCTCATAAATCTCATAAGCACTCACCTTGATTAAACCTAGTTTTTCCTTTGATTTCTTACTTCAAGCTTGATAATATATTTTAGAGAGATTTCTTGTTTTTGGTATGGAACAAATGATAACATTTCAACCACTATTTATAGGTGAATTCATCGCATTAACTACTTGTTCCTCTTGCTCTCAAATTTGTACTCTTATGAGAGTTTAACACCTCACATTTAGGATAAGAAAATCTTGACACATCATGCTTCTAGCATTTCATTGTCATGCTTATTAGACTTGCTGAATCCATGGGCAGCTAAGAGAACCTAGCAAACTGAAACATCTCTCCGAGACAGTGCCCAGATCGTTACGCCTTTCGTGCGGGTCGGAACTTACCCGTCGCCGGCTCCCTTGTCATCAAGTCACCAACTTCCTTGACCTTCCGGCACTGGGCAAGCGTCAGCCCCCATACATGGTCTTATGACTTTGCAGAGACCTGTGTTTTTGGTAAAAAAAATGGCCCACGCATGGTCACTGCGACCCTTTGTGAGGAGGCACCCCTTCTCCCGAAGTTACAGGGCTATTTTGCCGAGTTCCTCAGATCACCAAATAGTTTGCCAACACATACTTCTACCCCTCACAACTCATCACTAGCTTGCTTTATAGTGTTTAATAGACTTGCTTCATCATGCTTACTAGACTTGCTTAGTCATCAAATAGCTTGCCAACGCATACTTCTAGCCTTACAACTCATCACTTTAGGTTTGATTTCTCATGCTTTGCCTTCTAAGCTACTTGTAGGCTACTTGTAAGCTACTTGTCTTGAAAATATGATGAATTTATGGATCTACAGCTGTTGGACCCTTTTTAGTGCATTTAATTTGCTCATAAAATATTTGTATTTAATTAAACATTGAAATCTAACAAATATAAAACTAAGGTGTTACAGTACATCATCTACTTATTTAGCCTATCCATTAGTTTTAAGCACAGGAATGTTTAGGCTTAAAATGGATTCTTCATTTAATCATATGATTGTTGTGAATGAATGTGTATCCCAAGCAGTAGTAACTATACCATCCAATTACAATGGCATTCTAAAATCTCAATGCCACTTCTTTTTCCTCATATCTGGTAAAACCCATATGAGAATTCATTATTCATGGTGCATCAATCTTTCTCCAAGTAAAAGAAATAATAAAAGAAGACGTAAAACAAATCTGAATGAACTATGCTCTCTCTATATCTTGATGTGTCCTCTCTACATTTGGTGATATACAAGATATAACCTAGAACAATTCTCAAACATATTATAACTAGTGACTAGTCTATGATCAAGAATCATATCCCAAAAATAATTTTTTTTGTTCAACTGTAAACAGATTCACTGCTGATAAAAATATTTTTTCCACCCTGAATAAATATTATGCAAAACAACTTATATTGACATCATGTAGGAGTATCAAAGCCTCAAAGATGATATTACATATTAGATCCCAACGTGATAGGGTCATTAGCGTATACTCATCTCTTCAAGCGTTAGCCCTACTTCTTTGTTTATGTTCGTTTTGGATTCTAGGGTCTTACTTCCAATATCATTGTTTAAACCATTGATTCTGGCTGTATACAGAAACAAGCTCCTAGACTTGCAAAATTATTGCTTAGATTGATAGATTCAATCGATCATGGTTGTGGCTTATGATTCACAATCTCAAAAGATCCTTACGCTTATGGGAGATAACACCCTTGGAATTTATTTATTGAAGACACTGTTTGCTCTTATTTTGGCATCATCACCTATAATTTTTTAAACACTACATACATCCCTCAACTTTCTTACACTTGCTATAGCTAGGTTACCTTCCTTTTGATCATTTCTTCATGTTCACCTCATCGCCTGTTGGTATACAACTATTGGCAGCCGAAGCATATCTTCATAAAAGCTCCCCCCCCCCCCTTCTCTTACAACTTGAAGAAATTCTAAATCATAAGATATCCTCCTCCAATTATAACCCTAAAACCCTAGCTTTTGGGTATGCAAATTACACAAACACACACATGGAACAAACAAAACAAAATTCCCTTCAGAAAATACAAAGCGAATTTAAGAAAAGAAACAATATCAGAAGCCAAAAAATCCGTTGTAATCGAAGAATAAGAAATGGACCTGGAACGGGCGACATTGCCACACTTGATGCATTTGGGTTTGTTAAGGCCACGGAGGTTCTTGGAAGTATTGATGCTCGAATTACTCATGACCATTGGGGTCGTGGTTGTAGAGGTGGTTCTTACAACAGCGGGACTGGCGGAGCCGGTGATTGAGGTGGTGTCAGCACTGTTATTGCTTAGAGCAGGTGAAGCCGTCGCCATTGCGTAACCTTATGTGTAAATTCTTCAAAATTTTCAGATGATTCTATGAAGTCATCAAACAAGTATTCATAGGATTTTGAAAGAATTGGTTCGTTGATTTTGTTCCAGAACCAGAGGGTGACGGATGGGCGATCAAAGATGCCCAATATCGATGGCCGGAATAATTTCTAAGATTTTATCACTCTATTTTTCTTGGGCCGCATGTTATTGGGCCCATTTTACATTGTGAGCAAATTATTTAGGCCCAATTACCAAAGTACATATGTCCAATTAGCGATGGCCAAATCGGCTCGGCCCGGTCCGGGACCGACAAAGGACCGGCCCAGGACCGGTAAGGACCGTTTGGGGTTTGGTAGTTTCGTGGGACCAGGACCGGCCCGGCCTGGCCCGAAAATTCAAATAATTTTATAAATAAATGTATTTTTTATAAGACAATGTAATTTTAATTATATTAAAACGCATTTTTAAAATGTATATGAGTGACCCAATTGTAAATTTTATAATGTATTAAAAATATATATCATTAAAAAAAATTAAAAAAATCTTATTTTGTAATGTTAAGACCGGGACCGGCGACCCATAACCGGTTGTGAAGTACCTTGACCGGTCCTATCATTTTCGACCGGGACCGGTTATGGTCGGTTATGAGAAAGCTTGGGACCGATTAGGCCCGGCCGACGGCCCGGGACCGGTTTTTGGCCATCACTAGTCCCAAGTGGTCGAGTTCATCATCATCGTCATATGTTGGTCTTCAATTTTCAAGTCTCAAGGTCAAGCTCATCATCATCGACAAATGTTGAGTAGGTGTCGTGGGTATCAGTAGTTGGCGGCGTCATTAGGTTTTGGGAGTATCTGTTTTCTTTCAAGTTTTTTTCCACTTATTCGAGTTCCATCTCTAGTGACGTCGTGCATTGAGTTCTTTAATTATTATCTAAATAATCCTTCAAGCATACACGACACTCCAAAGACTCCGCGCTAAGTCTTACTTTTACGCATCGAAATGATCTTGCTACTAAGAGAAAAATAGAATTTGAAGCTATGATACTAGTTTAGATTGTTAGTATATCACGTGGACTGGTGGTCAAAACCGGAAATTGCGGGTGTTTTTTGTTTCCACCGTTCCAGTAAATAAATACTTTCATGATCATCGACATTCGAGAAGGAATAAAATTAGTATGCATATACATATACAAAGCTATCATTTTTTTACCATTTGTGAAAATTTAACGTAACATAAGCCTAAATTTATCTAGTATGAGTTTAACTAATTTTAAACTGTCTTCAACAACTAAGTTGATTATGTGTGCACAACAACATGTATGAAATAATTTACCGTTTAAAATGAGTTTCATACCTAACTCTAACTTCGACACATGCGGTATTATTACTAGCGTTATCAAATGAAATACTAACTATTTTTTATATAAATTATAAAATATAAGATTTTTATCAAAAAAATACTAACTATTTTTATATAAATTATAAAATATAAGCTTTTAACAATTGCAAATGAATGATCATCCGAATGTGGTGCATCAAATGGTTCAAACGTGATAACACATTTTACTAATTGCCACGATTGCGACTCAATTTGATGTGTCTTTTATGCAAATATAAGAATGTGGTAAACCGTATGTCGCACTCCATACAGCACACATTAGGGAAACACAACTAGGCAAAACAGAAAACATTGTCTCATTTCATTTTAACACGTTTTCCACAATTTTATCGCACCACGTCTAAGAGTTTGACGACTTAACAGCTTGTAGTGTTTGTTGGATGAGGTTCGTAAAGTGAATGGTGTCAAAATGTCTATACGGTAACCCTACTCAAATGACACATTGTGTTGTCATTTTCCGGTTCAAATCAACATTGAAAGTATGGATGACTCGAATCACCTTTCACCGAATTTAACCCTAGGCATGTTTTTTCGACTCAACGTTGAATTTCTTTAGTTGTAAGCAGAGTTTGACACACTTTGCATTGTTTCTTCCTTTTCTCGCTTGCAAGAACCACCATGATGTATGAATTTCAAATCTCAAACTTTCGTCTGTGTTCCGCAAGAACTTGGGCAATGAGATCATTGGATGAATCATCAACGTTACCAGTAGCATGAGACACCATTTTTTAAGTAATAACACAAAAAACGAGAGAGAGAGAACTCAAGTAGAAGTTGTTAAAAAACCAAAATTGAATAGGAGCCGAAATCACGAATTATAGCGAAAATTATGAATGTTTTCTTTTTCTTTTGTGAGTTGGCATCTTTTTTATACAGCATATGAGTTATATATAGTGTAGATGGGTTAAAAGAGACAAAAAAAAAGGTCAAAAAACGAAGAAAAAAAATGATCATATGACCCTTCCCAACGTTATAAAAAACTGGTAGTTTTTTTTTTCCTGAAAACCGGGATTTGTTCATTACCAATCCCGGGCAAGGCCGTGATTTTTGAGGATTTTCGTAACCGGGTCAAGACTACCGGTCTGGTCCTATGCGAGTCTTGGGCCAGGCCGGACCGATTTTGGTCATCTCTATGTTTAAGCTTATCAAAATGAAGATATTAAAAATATATTATTAAAATAGTAATTAAAATAAAGTATGTTATATTTTCATACAATAAAGTATGTTGTATTTTCATACAATTTGTCCTGATATTTATTTATTATGAAGATAAACATTTTATTGTTAATTTGTATTATATTATAAAATATTTATGTTTTTATTTTTTAATACAACTATTAATACATCAAGTATAAAAGAATAATTAAATAAAATCTTTCAATTTAATAATATTCATATTTTGCGGTTTCTCTATGAACAATAAGAAGGGAAGCGTGAAGGGTATTTGAAACCCGTTATTATATCAAATTACAATCATCTCATTGGACTCCGAATCGACTAAAAGACTTCACTTTCTCCTGGTCTGCGTAGTGTTGCACAACCTTTTAATGACTCAGAGTGTTGTGGTTGTTGTTCTGAGCCGGTGATCTTTGTTTTTTTTCCTATCTTCGGTTGCTATTCTACAGCTTCCGTAAATCCATCTTCTACTTCGGATCTGATCTTATTTGATGGTGGTAAGCTCGTGTGTTTGAAGGAGTCGCTTTGAATGAGTTCCATCCGGGAAGGTTCAATCTTTCTTTAAAAATCGGTGCATATAGTTATCGTGCTCCAAAAAGCTAGAATTTTTTTTCCTATTGTTGTCGGTTTTTCTTGCGTAAGAGCTCGAGTTTCCTCTTCTTTTGGGTTCGCTCTTCCTTGTTCTCTTCATGTTCTTGTGGTTTGGTTTGGTTTGGTTTGGTTTGATATAATCGTGTGGTTCCTTTCTTCGGTATTCTTTTCCTTTGTGCTTGTTATGCCATTCTACACAAGGGTTCTCGTGTTCATGTTTGGTGGTTTTTTCTCAATAAAAGTGTTGTATCTCTAACAAAATTTACCTTATTTTTTGAACGAATCTAAATTATCTTAAATTTAATCAAACGAATTATACAAAAAACCAGTGTTATATTCACATTGATTTTATACATGTACTGATGTATAATTTTTCCAATTATTTTAACTAGGTTCTCAAAATTTTGATCATAAATATATTTATACTGTGTTGTAAACATTTACCTCAAGTTCTTAAAATTATTAATATTCAAGTCTATAACTTATTACTATATATGTACAACTTTTTAAAAATTCGACCTTTGAACTCCAAAAAATAATTGATAGATACATTCAAATATAAGATAAAACACTGAGTTCTACTAATACAACGTAATGCAACAAAAAAAATGATAACCAACATAAGGTCCTCTTGTTCTCTTAACAGTATCCAAAACCATAAAATAAATACAGAGAAACAAAATAATATAACGAAACATGAATTAAGATTAAAGGTTCATGATATTGGTTTCAGAACGAATACACTTATAGTTAAGGTAACACACATTCAGTTCTTTCATCTAATAATTGTTGTTGTTAAAAGTCTTCATCTCCTTGTGATTTCAAGGTGAGTTTTATTTTAAGAGCATCATTGGATTTGCTTTAATAAGGAACCATATGGTTTCCTGTTTTCATACATGGGATGTTTTAAATGGATTATATGCTATTTTTAGCATGAATTTGAGTTTTGATATGTATTATCAATTGATTGGGATAATGGTGGTATAATCAGGAGAGATGTATACTGGGATAAGAGTGACACAATCAGAAGAGGTGTATATTTTGAAATAAGGGTGAAATAATCAGGAGAGGTGTATACTAGGATAAAGGTGGCATAATCACAGTTTGTTAAATGAGATTTTGATCTTATGGAATTCTGTTTTCGCATCTGTTGGATGCGATGAGATTGATTTATCTCATATGTTGGACGCGATAAGACTAAGTTATCGCATATGTTGGTTGCGGTGAGTTAAAGTGATCGCATCAGTACGATGCGGCAAAAAAAGCACTGGTGCGAAGAATGGTGGTTATCGCATTTTTGTAATGCGAGGAAATATATTATTGTATCTGAATGATGCAACAAGTTGGTGTAATATGAGTTTGATGCGACAAATTAGTTATTAGGTTGTTTAATGCGATGAATTGGGATTGTCTCATCTATATGATGTGACAAAAGAGGTTTGTTACAATAAAACATTGTTTATTTGTTATCAATACAAATCTGGGTTATGTAAAAGTATTTTGGTGATTTTCACCCTGTAATAGCAATCAAAGAGGATTACGCACTAGACATTATGGTCTAACCCTCGTTTTGTTTTCAAAAACGTGCATTACGGGTCGGGCACATGTGGAAGGTAAAAGGAAGGGAAAAGATGTGAAGGGAATTATTATTGTTTTACATCCGTGGAATTTTGGAAAGCTGAATATGTGCATGTATTTGAAAATGTGTTATGTATAAGTCATGTACTGTATGTGAACAAAAAGTTTGTAGCTACTTTTATATATAGCAATTTTTACATTTGGGACCAATGTATATATTTGTATTTCATGTTATATAAAATATATGTAGTTTTTATGCAAATATGGATTGGGGGGGGTGTTACATATATGATTATGTGTGCTAATATAATATATGTGTAATATGAAAAAGTATGGAATATAAAGTAAATTAGA